GTTTCTTTCTTTCTTTTTTTTTTTTAGGGGGGGGGGTTTCGTGGAGCTTAATGGTTTTACTTATGAAAATGCCCCACAGTGGTACAGCGGTATGTCTGCGGACTTACAACGCTAGAAACCGGGTTTCGATACCTGTGGTGAGCAGAGCACAGATAGTCCTTGTGTAGCTTTGTGCATAATTAAAAACAAACAAACTTATGAAAAGATTTAATATTTCACCTGAAACTCTTAAATAAATAAAATTGTTTATTTGTTATTATGATATTATTTACGTCATAAGGTTGATATTCAAGTTTCCTCTTCTGTTACATGTGTTATGTGAAGCAAAACGTGTGCAGTTTGTTAGAATATTTAACAATATAGTATGCAATAATTTTAAAAAAATATTTTAGTTATAAAAGAAAAAATACGTTGTATATATCTATATATAGATATATATGATCGTATGTTAATTTCCTGTAGAAATTCTTCCATAGAAACTTCAGCGATACAAGTCCTTTCTTAAATAAAACTAGTTTATTCTTTCTCAATACAACTTTGCAATAAATAGAATTTCCACAGTCACTTTCACTTAAACACACGCTATAATTTACAACGATTCACGCACTTTACTTACGGTCACTACCGCTCACTTGAATCAATTATCTGTCTCTATATCTCTCTTCAATCTGCTATTCTTTATGCCGTCACTCTCCCTCTCCGCTTTATTTGCCGGGCTTATATACAAAAATAGAGGGCGACTGGCAAACACTAGAGTTGGCAGAAACAGTCATGATCCTTCTAGAAACTCATGACGTGTTACCAGCGTCACGTGACTTCCGCTGTCGTAACAATATGACTCAATTGTTGCGATGCACCCATAATGAAATATATTTCGCTTTTAAACCTGTCTGTTCCTAATACAAAACTCGTCAGTTTTACGATATGAAATTTCTTATTTTATTTGAATATGAGTCCTAGAATCACGTGGTAGTAAACTTTTATAATTAATTCATCCTAGTGAGTACTTTAAGTAACTACACATTGGTAGTGTTCAGCCACATTTTACCATGATATTCTTGTTTCTGGCGTATCATTGGCCAAAATTATTATTGTATAATATACGTAATCTATTTCTCGACAGGCCTAGTAGCATTTCGACAAGTTATACAGTAGATGACGTTTCACATTGAAACGCTCTGAAAATACGTTTCTAAAATGCATGTTATGTTTCAAGTTTTGAAAACGAAACGGAGTTTTTCGAGTGTCAGCGCAGCCAAATAGAAATTAAGAATAATTAAAATAATACAATGATTTTAAGAATTGGCCAACTTAGTAAATATTTAACACCATTATCGACAAAGAGGTTTACAAATCGGACATCCAGAGCTAATTGTATCGCAGAGTTATTAATAATGGGTTTTTTAAAGTGACACCTATAAATTATTGAAAAATAAGCACACACACACACACACACAAAAACCACTTGCCAGATATTTCGAGCATGATCGAAAGCGTTACTGGTGTAAAAGGACTTAGCAATTTTAAAAAATACACACCACATCTCTCGAAATCTTCGTTTTCTTTTTCTCGTAGGATGATATTCAACCTGGTGTTTTCTTCTTGTAATCTAGCGAGTAGTTCACTTAGACACCTTGTTTCAGCCCTCCAGCTCTCTTCTACATGTTCCAAGTCCTATAAGTTTGGGAACATTATTATACAATGTGTACTAGTATCCTGTCGTATTTTGTAAAACTATAGCAACTAATAAACTATATACTTAACCCTAAAATAAAATATATATAATATAACACCAGGTTATCACTTACAACAGCACAGTGGAGTTTCTTGCTAAAGATGTGCTACAGGGTGCAAATACACATAAATACGTCATGCAGCACGTGCCTATATCTCGAACCGCATAAAGTGTGCTATTTGACACAATTACACCGAGTTATTATCTACGGTTACATGTGTTTCTTACACCACGTGAGCCTTCAGGGGTTTATATATTCAACATAATTTAAAACCATTATCTGGAGCTTTTTTTGTATGTCACTGGTAAATAATTTTTCTTTAATTCTAGAAATTTCTGGATGAGTTTACTCGAGGTTTTCACACAGAAGCTATCTTTGTCTCAGTAGATCACATCCTGAGTTGTTTTAAATTCTCACGTTTAATCAACCCACGAGGAAAAGTATAATTTATGCTACTTGTTTATGCCCAATAAATTACGCCAAGAACTAATTAAGAGTAAAGGCAACTAGCCATTCCTGAATTTGAATAATATGCGATTAGCAACAAGAAAATCAGCGTGCAAGTTTAAACGAAAAAGCAAAAATATCAATTTCATATATAATCATTCATAACTTTGAACGTAAATTATATTCTATATCAAAGTATGTACTTTTATAAACACACATACATATTTATGTGCCTATTTAAGTACTCGTGATATTGTTGTAAACTATATTTTCAATATTTTTTTATTTAGAGGGTGCAAGATGTTAAAATCAAGTAGTCTTAGAATAGCTATAAAGTTCACGATTACGCCAAGAATCTTGTAACTTCGTCTAATATTTAGATAAGGGTATATTAATTATAAATACAAGTAAATATCTAGTTCAATGATACTAGTGAAAATTATCACGTTTATTCTGCTATTCAGTTACTCGGTGAGTTACGAGTTTATTTATCTCTCAAAGCTAATTAAGTTAGACGTACGTTTAGCAGTTTTTATTGAAACGTTTTATTTACAGTAAGACCTATCATTAGTCTTCGATTTTATGTTCAAATATTGTTGGTGAAAGTAGGCCTACGACTGAGCTTAACTGTAACAAACGTTATTGAAGAATTATATTAATTCGTTATCTCCACTTGGACTGTACTTCACATTATTTCCACAAAATAATTCAAAAGAATCCTCTGAACAGTAGAACACGTCACACTATATATATATATATATAATTTGTTTATATTTTACGTTAGGCCTAATAATTACCGTATAAACAGTTGTAGTTTATTATTTGAAACAAACCTAGGCCTAATGTTTGTTAAGTAGAAATAACAATTAATTATCACTTGTCTATGGGGTCCATGCTTTTTAAGTAATTTTTTTTCTAAAACTATCTGTTATTGAACAACTTGTGAGACCAGGACTCAGTTGGTTACAAAATACCGAATACAAAAATGCACAAAATTACAACAAATATCGTAGTTAATTCTATTAATTATTGCTAGGGTCCTCTATATATTTTACACAGAACATAAGATGCTTCCTCAATTTATTTTGACTATTTCTCTACATTTAGTTTTGTAATTTGGAGGTAAAACGATTGACGTGTGAAGAACACGAGTAACCTCAAGTTATATTTAGTAAAACTGATAAGCGTTGAGTAACTTTCGACTGTTGAATTTGGTACTGAACTGAGTAATTATTTTAGTACAATTTCTCAATTATAAGGCCTTGAATCGATCAAATCACCAAGACCTTTCGTATATATTAAAACAATAGTATCTTCATTGTACCACGCAAGCGTTATCTGTGCTGGATATGTTATCTTTATTATATTTTAAGAAATAATACTACAAAACAAAAGGCACTGACTTTGCACCTAATTTCCTTCACCTTAGGATTGCTTCCTTGAACTTTAGTACACACACACACAATTCCATGTGACTTTAACGTAATTAATCATAAATAGAGGTTACCTATTCATAACTTTAGTTCCACTAAAACTGAGATCGTCCCAGTTTTTAGCCTTTTTTTTTGTCCCAATCAAAAACAGTAAAAGTATAAAATAGTTCAAATTTCTCTGTACGTCATTATGAGTTGGATTGTAATTGTAAACGTCTCTTTTTAAATGTAACTTGGAGAATCACCTGACAAAAATAAATCACACGGTGCAGTGTTCCCTCCCTCTCTACTACGTTTTCTTAACCTTACCTGTCATCTGGTAGCCGCAGGAATTCAGATTTGAAGATGTACCCAGCCTCGAAAAACAAAACGAAGAAGTAATATTTTTCTTTTAAGTAGGTTAAAAACAAACAGACAACAGAGACGCACTTTCTATTTTATTTGTTAGTTTTTAACTATATTAAGCTTTTAAAAAATGGATTCTCTGTGGTTTTAAAACGCGATGCAATAAACATCAGATTATTTAGCAAGTCTAAAAAGTATGTTGTTGTAATTTGAACTGTTTCGGGGTATTACAGTGTCACTCCGCGTGGAAAAAATAGTCCCAATTTTTCAATCTGATAATGCTAAACATAAAATTATTTTAAACACGAGCCATTAACAACTATTTGACAGGTAACACGGTATTAGTAAATGATTTTATTTGTAGCTGAGAGAAACAATATTAAAGTATTGACCACTTAGACTTAGAGCGTGTTCTTATTTATACTTCGTAATCCAATTTTCATGGACCCATGACAAGCTTCGTTAAAGACTACTAACAACGTTTTGGATGACCACCAAACAGATCATATAGATCTTACTTAAGTCCATTAATTCTGTATAAATGGACACATCACGGAAACGAAGGATAAAAAAGAAAACCATTATAATTTATATAATAACAAATGTATTGAATTTTAAAATTATCACCACATAATTTCTCACCTTCAGACTGAAATAAAACTAATTCCATTTTAAGCCTACCGTGTGGTGAAAACACATCAGTTTGATAATTACACACAGTTTGTTTATCTCCTGATGAGAGACTAAGCGTTACGAGAAAAGTTGAACACTTTAATTCTGTTTGTCTATGTATATTTTTACGCAAAGCCTTAAAAAGCGTTAAATTAAACAAATTTCTTACACGTTTCTTTCTTGAAACGCCGAGTGTAATAAATTTCTATGATATTTGGTTAAACGAAATACTGCAGTGTGGAGACGAAGATCGATGAAATGATTGAATTTACTGCATTAATACAAGTCATTAAAGTAACTACCTTTAATTTTAACAATTGAACAGAGTTTTAGATAGTATTGTTCTCTGTTTAATTGTTAGTTTTAAATATGCTAGTTTTAACTTTTCGCGAAACTAAGTATTGTTCTCTGTTTAATTGTTTGTGTTTTAAATGTGCTAGTTGTAACAATTCACGAACTTAACAAGTTTATTCAGACAGTATTGTTCTCTGTTTAATTGTTTGTGTTTTAAATGTGCTAGTTGTAACAATTCACGAACTTAACAGGTTTATTCAGAGAGTATTTTTAATATTAGTCATTTGTTAAGATAACAATATAATATAGTTTACTCTTGGTGTTGTAGATAACTGTTTTAATCAGTTGTTAAATAACAATCTCAATCAGAGAATTTACTTATAATTTTATAATGGTATTTTAATTATTCATTAATATAACAATTTCAGTCAGAGATTTTATTCTTAAAGTTACAAACGACTATTTATTCATTAGTTAAGCTAACAATATCAATCACCGAATTTACTCTTAAAGTTAAAAATGGCCATTTAATCCATTTGTTAAAATAACAATCTTAATCAGAGTTTACCCTTGAAGTAAAAAAAAAAGATTTTTTTTATTCATCCATTAATATGGCAACATGAATCAGAGACTTCACTCTTAAACGTGACTATTATAATCGTTCATTAAATTAACAATCTCAATCAGAGATATTAAGTCTTAAAACTAGAAATGACTGTTGTAATCATTGGTTAAACGAACCTCTTTCAGAAAATTTTGTTCTCTGTTTAATTGTTAGTTTTAAATATGCTAGTTTTAACTTTTCGCGAAACTAACAACCTCGAAATTTTTATCTTAACATTCAGAGTGAAATCCCTGATTGAGTTTATTAACTTAATTAATCATTAAAATATTTGTTACCTCCTCAAACCTTTTCTGATCTTCTAGTTTTTCTTTCTTTTCGGTCAGAAGCAACTCCACAGTTGCGCGTAAATCAGAATTCTGAGAACAAAGTTCATTGTTACTTATTATGCAAGCTTCAAAAATTTCCAATACTCTTACGACCTTAGCCATCAGATCTGTAACTAAAACAGTTCCATGTTTCTCCAGGATCTTTTCGAAATCCTTTCCAATGTTAGCAGCGTGTTCATAGACATCTTCAAGCCCCGCGTCCACTACGATAGCGTTCATAGTTGTTGATGCTTCATTACTATCATAAACTCGACAGGCTGCTAACCTATCAGTGATATTTACTTATTATAACCGTAAGGAGGCTACAGAGATAAGAGATCTTAATTGTTCCTTTTAACATATAGTTAGTTCTTTCTTCATAATCGATGATAAAGTTTGAATAAATAAATCTCTTTATGTGTTTATTTAATTACTATGTATACGATTTTCAATATAAGATTCATTTTTCAATCAATAAATAATGATAATAATCCTTCGCCATTTGATTTGAAAATCGCAGAACGAGACTGATGACGTCATAGCGAGGGAGGTGTCATCTAAGAAAAGATAAACGGTTAGACTTGTACGTGTATTATACTCGTCATGCTGTGATAAATGCACGAGAGATTCGTACCTTGACTATGATGTTATAGATAAAAAAAATACATATTTTAAGTTTTTGTGAACATTTTCATCATATAACAAACAATGAAGAAATCTTGGTGCTAATGACGTCATAGAAGTAACCGCATGATAATTCGAAGTAGATTAGTTCTCTAAGTTACTTTTCACGTTTATTCGCGAATGTGATAGAATTCAGTTTAGATTTTCATTAAGGATAGTTTCAAAAACTATACCTTGTCTTGCGGAAGAAGATAGACTGTAATATATATAGCTGTTTTATGTAAAAGACGATACATTAAGATAAAGTCCCCTGACGTTTATATTATCGATCAAACTGTCAGCATACCTGCTCAAACCAGAACAGTTAACGTGAACAATAGGATGTGTGAGGAAAAATATCATGTTCCAATGTGTAAATCTTGTTAAAAAGAAAGTTAAAAGAGACACAGATGTAGCAACTGTAATATCATTTACTGGCCGAGTTGATGTTTAAATGTAGCAGCCAAGTAATGGTGTGAGAGAACTAAGGTCACGTGGTGACGCTGTCCAATGAACAAAGAAACCTGGTTTACCTGTTGAATTCACGTTTCTTGGTTCAGATCTACAAGGAGATCATGAAGTGAAGATCATACTTGAAAATCATTGTGTTTTAGTTTTACAGAGATCAATCCCAAGAGTGAAAGGTGTGAAACTAAGCACAACCTACATTCACGTTTCACACCACACATCCATATTTCACACCCGCATCATTATCCTTAAGTGATCGCTTCAAACCAGACATAAGAGAGGAGGAAGAATGCAGCGACAGCTATAATTGCAGTTCCACTGTTGGAGGATGCAACCCAGGGACCTCCATCATGTCAGGCTAAAACCAATCAGAGTTGCTGCCTCAACTAGCCAGAAACGTGCTGCAACTAAACTGGCTTCCAGTGAGTGGGTACAAGGGTCTACTCACAGGG